CGCGGCGTCTGGATGCGACTTGGGTCTGGTGCCACCCACCCCCGACCCGCCGGGAGAGCTCCTTACACAATCCCGACCCCCCCCCCCTTTTCCAGCCTTCAGAAGCCCTCGGGAGGCTCCGAGGCAGCTTCCAAAAGACTCCCAGGTTGCCGACCAGAGTGCGCCTCCTAGAGGCCGAGAGGCCCATCGTAAGTGCAAGAGCGAGAGTTGGAAAACATGAGAGGGCGTCCACGGCAGAAGAAGGAACCCAAAGCGTTCTGGGATATTCTCCCGCGGGAGAAGACGACACCCAACGCGTCCCGAGATGCACTCTCCGAGACACGCTCCATCCAGAAACGTTACGGGACTTCAGGTAACGTCCTGGGCTTTGGGGCCTTTGGAGGCCTCGTCGGACCCCTGGGGGCCCCTCCTGGAGGCCCCTCCGCCGATTGGCCCCTTGAGCTGTGGTTCCAGCATGGGCATCGACCGAGGGAGACGGAGCCCAGCGCATTGCGGGACGCACTCCCCGGAGTGGGAAGCGAAAGGCGAGGGCTTCCACACGCGTCAGACCTGCCCTCGGTCTTTTGCGCTTGTGGGTCCCCCTGGGGTCTCTTGGAAACCGCCTGGGGGGCCCTCTTTGAGGGCCTCTCGGGCGCCTTGTTGGAGCCTCTGGGCCTTCTTTTTTTTTGCGCCAGGGCATGATGAGAAGCGGTCTCACGGCATCGGCATGGATAAAAAGAGATGCGCGGCGGTGGGAGCGGCTGGTCAGCCAGAATGGCAGCGCCACCTCTTCTGTGGTGCTTTGACCAATGCATACGCCCAGGCCACGCTCGGAGTAAACACGGTCCCCACTGCAGATGCACTGCAACTGTGGGGCATCAATATGAGAACTGCCCATGGCATCCACGATGACAGCAGCAGGGAACAAAACGGCGGGCGCGGCTGGTCAGCCGGAATGGCAGCGCCACCTCTTCTGTGGTGCTTTGACCAATGCACACGCGCAGGCCACGCTCGGACTAAACACGGTCCCCACTGCAGATGCACTGCGACTGTGGGGCATCAATATGAGAACTGCCCATGGCATCCACGATGACAGCAGCAGGGAACAAAACGGCGAGCGCTGCCGGTCAGCCGGAATGGCAGCGCCACCTCTTCTGTGGTGCTTTGACCAATGCACACGCGCAGGCCACGCTCGGACTAAACACGGTCCCCACTGCAGATGCACTGCGACTGTGGGGCATCAACATGAGAACTGCCCATGGCATCCACGATGACAGCAGAAGGGAACAAAACGGCGGGCGCGGCCGGTCAGCCGGAATGGCAGCGCCCCTTGTTCAGTGGTGCTTTGACCAATGCACACGCCCAGGCCACGCTCGGACTAAACACGGTCCCCACTGCAGATGCACTGCGATTGTGGGGCATGGACATCAGGACTGCCCATGGCATCCGTGATGACAGCAGAGAGGGAGATGGGCGGCGGCGGGCGCGGCTGGTCAGCCGGAATGGCAGCGCCACCTCTTCTGTGGTGCTTTGACCAATGCACACGCCCAGGCCATGCTCAGACTAAACACGGCCCCCACTGCAGATGCACGGCGACTGTGGAGCATTAGTATGAGAACTGCCCATGGCATCCACGACGGCAGCAGAAGGAACAAATCGGAGGCGACGGGCGCGTCCGGTCAGCCTGAATGGCAGCGTCCCTTCTTCTGTGGTGCTTCGACCAGAGCGCACGCTCGAACCCCACTCGGACACAGTACGGTTGCCATAATACCGCTGATCGATGTGCTTACATAAGATATCTCCCAACCCTCCTATGGTTGGGCACTCGTTTTGGAAAGAGAACTGTGGTATCCACTTCCCGCCCTCTCCTCCTCCTGGTCTCCTGTGTTCGCGGTGCCCTGCGGGGCTGCGATCTGCGCAACCGTCGCCGCTTTCGTGGGCTCCTGGCTGTCCCCTGCGGGGCTGCGATCTGCGCAACTGTCGCCACTTTCGTGGGTTCCTGGGAGGCCCAGCGGAGGTACGTCACACGCAAATCACTTTGAGGCCTCCCTGTCCCCTGCGGGGCTGCGATCTGCGCAACCGTCGCCACTTTCGTGGGTTCCTGGGAGGCCCAGCGGAGGTACGTCATACGCAGATCACATTGAGGCCTCCCTGCCCCCTGCGGGGCTGCGATCAGCGCAACTGTCGCCACTTTCGTGGATTCCTGGGAGGCCCAGCGGAGGTACTTCATACGCAGATCACTTTGAAGCCTCCCTGCCCCCTGCGGGGCTGCGATCTGCGCAACGTCGCCACTTTCGTGGGTTCCTGGGAGGCCCAGCGGAGGTACGTCATACGCAGATCTTTTTGAGGCCTCCCTGTCCTCTGCGGGGCTGCGATCTGCGCAACCGTCGCCACTTTCGTGGGTTCCTGGGAGGCCCAGCGGAGGTACGTCATACGCAGATCACATTGAGGCCTCCCTGAACCCTGCGGGGCTGCGATCAGCGCAACTGTCGCCACTTTCGTGGGTTCCTGGGAGGCCCAGCGGAGGAAGGTCATACGCAGATCACTTTGAGGCCTCCCTGAACCCTGCGGGGCTGCGACCTGCGCAACGTCGCCACTTTTGTGGGTTCCTGGGAGGCCCAGCGGAGGTACGTCATACGCAGATCACTTTGAGGCCTCCCTGTCCTCTGCGGGGCTGCGATCTGCGCAACTAACTGTCGCCACTTTCGTGGGTTCCTGGGAGGCCCAGCGGAGGTACGTCATACGCAGATCTTTTTGAGGCCTCCCTGAACCCTGCGGGGTTGCGATCTGCGCAACCGTCGCCACTTTCGTGGGTTCCTGGGAGGCCCAGCGGAGGAAGGTCATACGCAGATCACTTTGAGGCCTCCCTGAACCCTGCGGGGCTGCGATCTGCGCAGCCGTCGCCACTTTCGTGGGTTCCTGGGAGGCCCAGCGGAGGTACGTCATACGCAGATCACTTTGAGGCCTCCCTGCCCCCTGTGGGGCGTCGATCTGCGCAACTGTCGCCACTTTCGTGGGCTCCTGGGGGGCCCAGCGGAGGTACGTCATACCAAGATCACTTTGAGGCCTCCCTGTCCCCTTGGCGCACCTTGCGCGCACCTGGCGCGCTGGGCGCACCTGACGCACCTGACGCGCTGGGCGCACCTGGCGCGCACCTGGCGCGCACCTGACCCACCTGGCGCACCTGGCGCACCTGTCGCACCTGGCGCACCTGGCGCGCCCCTGGCGCGCACCTGGCGCGCACCTGGCGCGCACCTGGCGCGCACCTGGCGCGCTGGGCGCACCTGACGCACCTGCCGCACGTGGCGCACCTGGCGCACTTGGCGCGCCTGGCGCGCCTAGCGCAACTGGCGCACCTGGCGCACCTGGCGCGCACCTGGCGCACACCTGGCACACCTGGTGCATCTGGCGCACCTGGCGCACCTGGCGCAACTGGCGCACCTGTCGCACCTGGCGCACATGGCGCACCTGGCTCACATGGCGCGCCTGGCGCAACTGGCGCACCTGGCACACCTGGGGCAACTGGCGCACCTGGCGCGCACCTGACGCGCCTGGCGCAACTGGCGCACCTGGCGCGCACCTGGTGCACCTGGCGCGCTGGGCGCACCTGACGCAGTTGGCACACCTGGCGCAAGTGGCGCACCTGGCGCGCCTGGCGCGCATGGCGCACACCTGGCGCACACCCGGCGTACCTGCGGCGCACCTGGCGCACACCTGGCGCACCTGGCGCACCTGGCACACCTGGCGCACCTGGCGCACCTGGCGCGCTAGGCGCACCTGGCGCACACCTGGCGCACACCTGGCGCGCCTGGCTCACTCGGCGCGCCTGGCGCTCCTGGCGTACCTGGCGCGCCTGGCGCGCCTGGCGCACTTGACGCACCTGGCGCACCTGGCGCGCCTGGCGCACCTGACGCACCTGGCGCACCTGGCGCGCCTGGCGCACCTGGCGTACCTGGCGCATCTGGCGCACCTGGCGCGCCTGGCGCGCCTGGCGCACCTGGCGCACGTGGCTCACTTGGCGCACCTGGCGCACCTGGCGCACCTGGCGCACCTGGCGCACCTGGCGCGCCTGGCGCGCTAGGCGCGCCTGGCGCACACCTGGCGCACGCCTGGCGCACCTGGCTCACTCGGCGCGCCTGGCGCACCTGGCGTACCTGGCGCGCCTGGCGCGCCTGGCGCACCTGGCGCACCTGGCGCACCTGGCGCGCCTGGCGTACCTGGCGTATCCGGCGCATCTGGCGCACCTGGCGCACCTGGCGCGCTGGGCGCACCTGGCGCACCTGGCACACCGGGCGCACACCTGGCGCACACCTGGCGCACCTGGCGCGCCTGGCGCATCTAGCGCACCTGGCGCGCCTGGCGCGCCTGGCGCGCCTGGCGCACCTGGCGCACGTGGCGCACCTGGCGCACCTGGCGCACCTGGCGCACCTGGCGCACCTGGCGCACCTGGCGCGCTTGGCTCACCTGGCGCGCATGGGCTTCTGGGAGGCTCCGCGGAGGTACGTCCTACGCAGATCACCACTATACCATGGCGCCGAAATGTCCTTCGGTATTGAGTGGTCCTGAATGCAATTGTCTCTTGTGTAGAAAGGGTTGGGTACGTCGCAGGATCTATTGTATATATAGAGTGTAGTAGTAGTAGTAGTAGTAGTAGTAGTAGTAGTAGTAGTAGTAGTAGTAGTAGTAGTAGTAGTAGTAGTAGTAGTAGTAGTAGTAGTAGTAGTAGTAGTAGTAGTAGTAGTAGTAGTAGTAGTAGTAGTAGTAGTAGTAGTAGTAGTAGTAGTAGTAGTAGTAGTAGTAGTAGTAGTAGTAGTAGTAGTAGTAGTAGTAGTAGTAGTAGTAGTAGTAGTAGTAGTAGTAGTAGTAGGTAGTAGTAGTAGTAGTAGTAGTAGTAGTAGTAGTAGTAGTAGTAGTAGTAGTAGTAGTAGTAGTAGTAGTAGTAGTAGTAGTAGTAGTAGTAGTAGTAGTAGTAGTAGTAGTAGTAGTAGTAGTAGTAGTAGTAGTAGTAGTAGTAGTAGTAGTAGGCGAGGAGGAGGGGGGCGGAGAAGCTGGATCCCTGGAAACCGCCTGGTGGCCTGGTCGTGTACCCGATCGCAGGTAGGTCGCGGGCCAGGACAGGTGCGAACCATATCCACCACCGTGCCTCTGGCACGAAGTGGAGTGCCACAGGGCTCGTGCAGCACTGAGGGGTAGACGGTGTGCTGCTGCTGCTGCAGCGAGAAATTGACACGCCGTTCATGTATAATCGTGCTCATTTCTCAGTTACGCGTTGCACCCCCCCCTGGGGACTTGGGGGATACCGCTGCATAATTACAGCGACTTATTCCTATCCTGGAGCCTTACCAGGCCAGATTAGACTACGGCGATGGCGCGATGGCAAGGAAGTGCATAGTGTTTCCTCCACCGCTGCTCCCCCTTCCCCACATGCCCCCGCCCCCGCTCGGCCCTCTCTGGCAGCGAGAGCAGCCTCGAGCAGCGTGGCCACAGGGGGTGCAGCGTGAGCCGCCCGGCTGCCTGGAGGTCAGGCCGTGCCGTCTGCCTCCTTGCTCGAGCCGTACTCCTGGCCCATGACCTGCGGGACCTGGGGCGGCGGGGCCACCTGGAAGTACGGGAGGTTCCCTGCAGCGGTCTGCACCGGGGCGTCCACGGGGGCAGGCTGCCCGCCCCCGTGGTTGCTCAGGTCGCGGCGGAAGGACCTGCGCGACTGCTCGGGGTCCCACATGCACATGACGTAGCAGCAATCCAGGGGCGGGAGGCCGACGAATCCAGGGACCCAGTGAGCCAAGCAGCCCTTCATGGTCTCCTCGGTGCACCAGGTGCACGAACCGTCTGGCCCGCAGCAGAAGTCACCGTTCTCCCAGAAGGCAATGGCCATGAAGCCGACGCAAAAGCCAGCCATGCACTTGTCCTCCACGGTGCGCTGCGAGCCGTCCCCTGTGATGTTCTGTGGATCTGGCGACCAACAACACAGGGACACGACGCAGCCCATGCAGCAGAGAATTTCGAGGATGAAAGCCCACAGGGCCATGCCAGAGCACATGCCCGCGGTGGGATCGCCGGTCTCATACCCCGAGATGGCACACGGCGGCAACCAACACTTCGCGCAGAAAGATGGGGGCACCCGCGCACCGACCGTCTTACCATCACCATCCATTGTCTGCGGCATGAAGTTCGGATTTTGCTGATCCATGATGCTTGCTGCACAAGGGCGGCCTCTGAATGACCAGTCTACTCACAAAACCTAGAAGTCGTGATCTGTTTCCGTGACTAATTTCCGAACGGCTTGAGCCAAAATGGCTACGGATTGGAGCCTCTGGGCCTTCTTGGGGGCTTCTTGGACTCTCCACGGGCGCTCCAGACGGGTCCGACGCCCTGGGGGTCCATTTGGGGGGACTCGCTGGGCCGTCTGGGGGCTCTCCCGGGGCTGTCTTCAAAGGCTTGTGGGCGTTGGGGCCATCTTGGGAATCTCTGGGGCTTCTCTTGGGTCTCTCTCAGGCCATTGGGGCGCGTTCACGAAGCCTGAAACGACTTCGGGAGCGGAGCCACTCTGGTCGACCACCACGACAAACCACCACCCCACCACCGCCACCACCACACCACCACAACCCACCACCACCACAACTACCACCACCACCACCGCCACCGCCACCACCGCCACCGCCACCACAACCCACCACAACCTGCCACCACAACCACCACAACCACCACCACCACCAACCACCACACCACCACCACCACCGCCACAACCACCATGACTACCACCACCACAGCCCGCCACCATCACCAACACCTCAGAGAGGCCCCAAGAGACGTCCAAGAGGCGCCCACGAGGCTTCACAAATGTCCTTCAGAGGACCCCGAGATCCCACCCACGCGACCCCAAGAGGCATCCATTAGGACTCTGACCCAAAAGCCAGGCACAGTGGCGGAGCGTCGTCGTCGTCGTCGTCATCGTCGTCGCCGCTGTCCTCGTCAACGCTCCCCGCCGCCGCCGCCAGCCGCCGCAGGCGCCGGCGCCAGCCCAGCCCAGGAGAGATGACAAGTGGGGGAGGAAGGAGGGGAACAAGGGGGGGGGAGGGGAGGGTTCGACCCCCCCCCCTTCCGCCACGGGAGGAAGGGGGGTTGTTCGAATCCCCCCCCTTCAACCCAAGTGGAGGGGGAGGGGCCGGCTCCCCCCCCCATCCAAGCGCAAACAGAACGCGCTCTTTCATACATACCTATATATAAATATATGTATGTAGGTATACTTTTATGCATACAAATATTTCTAGGCACATGGGTATACAAATGCATATATGCGCGATCTATATGTATGTACATGTGTACCTCGCAGACCAGCCAGTGGACGATCAAAAAGCTGGGTGGGTGGGTGGGTGGAAGCAACGCTGGGAAAACTGTTGGGGCAACCGTCTCCATCCACCGAAGAGACTCTATCAGCCCATCGACTTATGAATCATGCCATTGTAACTACGCGCACACATGTCACGAGCTATCAACCGATCAAATTGTAAATCTCGGTGTCGATATATGTGTATATGTGTCGGCCTCACTATCCAAATATCGGTCTCACCATCTACAGATCGATGCCACTTATCGGCGCTATCAATGACTGTGCCTCCATATGTATGTATGCATGTATGTATAGTTGTGCATATGCCTATTATGTATGCATATTCACCGGCCTGTGGACACATCGGCCTCGAGATCTATCAATCACTATTCCATCGGAAAAACCTTCGGGACAACTATCGGGACCATCGGGACAACCATCGGGATAACCGTCAGGACAACCTCTATCGGTACATATATCAGAGTGAGGGGGCCGAACGGTCATCCACTGTCCCTGGGCGCGTGGCTGAAATGAGCTCCTGCGGTGCGGATTGTTGTTGTTGTTGAACATTATTAATTCTAAAGAATAATTATTGTTGGGACCCCTGGTGCGCGCGCCCCCCCGCCGCGCCTAGGCCGCAGCCACATTTTCATCATTTTCGTGAGGAAGTCTCAGGCAAAACGTGGGTGTCCGGATCCGGTTGTGTTGTTACGATCGGTTTTCCCTTGCAAAAAAAGGCAAAGTGGACATTTCTTGTTCTAACATGACCAAACTTCAAGAATCCCTTGCAAAAAATGACACGAAGTGCACATTCGCGCGCGCAAGACGAAATCCTTCCAAAACCTTAGTCTTCGTAGCGATTTTAACATAAAACATGAAAAACCCAATGGTTTTTCAAACAAAAAGTTTCAAAAATTCATCCCGCGCGCTCTTGCGGATTTCTTAGGAAACCCAATACTTGTTCAACATTTCTGTCAAACGGGCTCTTGCGAGCAACTTTCTCACGTGCTTCGAACTTCTGCAACAACGGTTGCGCACCTGCCAGGGCCATCATCCCTGTCAAAGAATACCATGCGGGACACATTCGTTTTTTCTTCGCGCGCGCACGCCGTCGTCGTCGGCCGCGGGGCCCTGAATAGTAGCCACGGTCGTCCGCATGCCACGAAGTGAAGTGTCCGAACGTCATAGGGCGGGAAGCTGGGTGTGGGTGGTGGCGAAGAGTCGTTTGGAAATTTGGTAGAGCTTGAACCGGCCCCCCACAAAGTGGGGGTATTGCCCGCCTCCTATGAAAACCCTGGCACTGGTGAGAACGGAGTGTCCCCAGTCTTAAATGATTGTTGTTGTTGAACATTATTTCTTCTTAAGAATAATTATTGTTGGGACCCCCTGGTGCGCGACCTCTGCGCCGCGCCTAGGCCGCAGCTACATTTTCATCATTTTTTTCGCGAAAGCTTCAGAAAAGTGGATTGTGTCCGGATCCGGTTTTTTGTTGTAATCCGTTTTCCCTTGCAAAAAAACAATAGAAAATGAAAATTCTTGTTCTTACTTGATCAAATTGCAAGAATCCCTTGCAAAAAATAAGGTAAAGTGGACATTCGTGCGCGCAAGACGAAATCCTTCCAAAACCTTAGGTTTCGTAACGATTTTAACATAAAAACATCAAAAACCCAATGGTTTTTTAAGAAAAAATTGTCAAAATGTCCTTCCGCGCGCGCTGTCCGAATCCCACAAAACCAATGGTTTTTCAACATTTATGTTACATGAGCTCGCGCGAGCTACTTTTTCTTGTTCTAACATAATCAAATTTCAATAATCCCTTGCAAAAAATAAGGTAAAGTGGACATTCGCGCGCGCAAGACGAAATCCTTCCAGAACCTTAGGTTTCGTAGCGATTTCAACATAAAAACATCAAAAACCCAATGGTTTTTCAAAAAAAAATGTCCAAATTTCATCCCGCGCGCGCTGTCCGACTCCCACAAAACCAATGGTTTTTCAACATTTCTGTTACATGAGCTCGCGCGAGCTACTTTTTCTTGTTCTAACATAATCAAATTTCAATACTCCCTTGCAAAAAAAAGTAAAGTGGACATTCGCGCGCGCAAGACCAACAAAAAACACGACGATCTCAGGAACTTGCCCCAAAAATGTGACCAACTCCGCTCTCTCTGTCTCTCTCTCTGTCTGCTCTCTGTCTCTCTCTCTGTCTGTCTGTGTCATGTATTGTATGTCACAATTGCAGGATGCTGGGCACACGCGCGCCCCGAATAAGTGACCAAGTTCTGTGGGTGTGTACCCCACGCCAGTGTAGTAGCCACGGTCGTCCGCACGCCACGAAGTGAAGTGTCCCAACGTCATAGGGCGGGAAGCTGGGTTTGGGTGGTCGCGAAGAGTCGTTTGGATATTTGGTAGAGCTTGAACTGCCCCCCCACGAAGTGGGGGTATTGTCTCGCGTCGCATGAAAACCCTGGCACTGGTGAGAACACTGAGCGTTCGGGTAAAATGATTGTTGTTGTTGTTGTTGTTGTTGCTATTGTTGTTGTGATTGTTGTCCGTTGTTTGTGTGTTAATGTTTGTTGTTTGTTGTCGTCGTCCCCCCGGCGACCCGACCCGCGACCCACCCGCGACCCCCCCGCGAGACACCCAAGACCCACCCAAGACCCACCCGCGACCCACCCCGCGACCTTCCCGCGCGACACCCGCGACCCCCCTGCGACACGCCCGCGACCTACCCGCAATTCACCCGCGACCCACCCGCAATTTTTCCGCGGCTTTTTCGCGACCCGGCCCGCGACCCACCCGCGACCCACCTGCGACCCACCTCGCGACCGACCAACATTGCTTTAACGGAAAAATTGGCGCCTGCGGCGGGCTTCTTCAGAGCCTCGCAGACTGCCGACGTCCCCGCAACCCCCTCACTCTTATCCGCTACTGCGGGGGGCTACGGTAATTCGACGTATACATCATTGTAGAAATCTACATATTAGAACCACGCGCGCGCTTCGCGCGCTCAGGTTCTAGTCACAGGTTCGCCACAAAATTCGGCCCTCTATGTCGCTTGCCTGTGCGCCCTGAACCCATTCGCCACAATACGTTCCGTCAGAACGCATGGGGTGTTCAGGTCACGTCTTGGGCCTGAAGGCCTCGCGGAGACTATAGTGGACCTCGTGGGGCCTTTTGAAAGCGGGTGCGTTCCGGGATAAGCCCTCTGGAACACGCGGCGTCTGGATGCGACGTGGGTCTGGTGCCACCCACCCCCGACCCGCCGGGAGAGCTCCTTACACAATCCCGACCCCCCCCCCCCTTTCCAACCTTCAGAAGCCCTCGGGAGGCTCCGAGGCAGCTTCCAAAAGACTCCCAGGTTGCCGACCAGAGTGCGCCTCCTAGAGGCCGAGAGGCCCATCGTAAGTGCAAGAGCGAGAGTTGGAAAACATGAGAGGGCGTCCACGGCAGAAGAAGGAACCCAAGGCGTTCTGGGATATTCTCCCGCGGGAGAAGACGACACCCAACGCGTCCCGAGATGCACTCTCCGAGACACGCTCCATCCAGAAACGTTACGGGACTTCAGGTAACGTCCTGGGCTTTGGGGCCTTTGGAGGCCTCGTCGGACCCCTGGGGGCCCCTCCTGGAGGCCCCTCCGCCGATTGGCCCCTTGAGCTGTGGTTCCAGCATGGGCATCGACCGAGGGAGACGGAGCCCAGCGCATTGCGGGACGCACTCCCCGGAGTGGGAAGCGAAAGGCGAGGGCTTCCACACGCGTCAGACCTGCCCTCGGTCTTTTGCGCTTGTGGGTCCCCCTGGGGTCTCTTGGAAACCGCCTGGGGGGCCCTCTTTGAGGGCCTCTCGGGCGCCTTGTTGAAGCCTCTGGGCCTTCTTTTTATTTTTGCGCCAGGGCATGATGAGAAACGGTCTCACGGCATCGGCATGGAGAAAAAGAGATGCGCGGCGGCGGGAGCGGCTGGTCAGCCAGAATGGCAGCGCCACCTCTTCTGTGGTGCTTTGACCAATGCACACGCCCAGGCCACGCTCGGACTAAACAC